CTGCAGGATGTAAACTTGAAACTGCAGGGAGTTTATGCATTGTTTAGCTGTATTCTTACCTGCTGAGCTATTGTTCTGCGAGGTGTGTCTTTAAGTCAAAGGCAGAGCTGAGCATTTACAGGAAGGCACTTTTACAATGGCTGTCATTTGTTTTGAAGATTAACGTTGTTTATATGACTATCAGGAACTGCAGAAGATAAAATACCTGTACGCAACAAGTGGAAATAGAAGGTTTGTCCCTCTTCAGTCAGCTCCCTGCTACCAGGCTGGTTACGTTGGTTTCATGTGGTGAAAGGCACATAGCGACTTACATACTGGATTATAGAAGGGTCTGACAACTTGAATGACCAGAATAGGTTTCTCTTACGCTTTTTCTTGGAAGGTCACTTTTGCCAACTCTTAAAATTCTCTGCATAAAAAGATGCTTCCTGTTGCCTGTTTTGAAAGTGTTTCCGTTTATTTCCATTCATCCTAAATAATAGAAAGCTGTAGGATCTGATCATGTGCTTCCTCTTCTCTTCTGGTTAATTAATTCTGTTCATGAGGTAGTGTGTCACTAGAATATAGGACACTAAATTGACTATTAGGAGGCCTAGTTTGTCTTCCTCACAGTACAGGCAAACGATGTATTGTGAACTGCTGTCTCTCACAGCTTTTTTTCTTTCGTGATCATGTCTACTTGGATTAAGACTGAAGCTGCATTCCCATGACTTTGTACAGCACAGTAGATTGTGATATTTTCTGAGACTTACGATAATTTTAAATTAATGGTTCTCTTGATCAGAAATTGTTCTTTGTTCCACCATCTCTACTTTTTTAGAAGTTTTCAGATCTGGCTTTAATGTATGATTTGTGATTTTGCACTGATGTTCAGTCCCACTCACTTTCATGACACTTTCTTTAGGCTGCAAATAAGGGAATCAATACAACTGTAAGACAACATCTGAAAACTAATAGCTATATAAAATGGATTTCTGAGTGGCTCCCCCCTCCCCCCCCCGGCTTCTGAAGTTGAACAGAATAATACAGTCATTTTAACTGCTCTGAAATGTCTTGGCAATACCAGATTTATACCTGATCCTGAAGAGGGAGTTGCCAGTGACAGTTTCACTTTTTGAATAAGTGCTCTAGATGCTTCTTCCTGGGCAGTACTTCAAAGACAGCAGCAGTGGTTAACTGTACAAAAAGACCATTAGAAGCACAGCCAGGTTTTTGTTTGCTTTGAGAATCTAGTTTTGAGTAGAAATTTAAAAAAAAAATACATGTTATGCTCCTTTTTAATATTGGAGAGGAAAATCTTCTAAGTATGATTTCATCAGATCATCGGGGGAGGGGAGGGGGAAGGGGAGGGGGAGCAGGGAAGCGAAGTCTTTCTATCAAACAGAAGTCCCTAATAGGAAAGTAGATGAGCCTTGCACAGTGCTGTGAGGATCAGCTAACCGTACCCTGTGTTAAACCAAGCAAATTCCAAAGGGGAATTTCCACTGCTAAGGTTTTTGCCGCTTCTTGGGCGTTCACGTCTAGAGACTGGGGCAGACACTTCTGTGAACAATCAACCACTGTGGCAGCGTGAAGACTGAAAAACTTCCAGGGACTGCTTGGTCTGATGGAGAAAAGATCCATTAGTTGTATGCCTTCCAGCTACTGAAGGTACTGAGCTATAAATTGTTTCTTCATCTCTCCCAGCAGCTTTCCGTATCTGTTGAGCAGATGTGATGTACTGGAGCTCCTCCTCAGCTCTGTGTTTCAGTGGATGTGTTGTGTTTCCACAGCATGGTCTGTATCCACTCTACAAGAATGCCTGATACGTGTCGAGTCGGCTAGTGAGAGTCAAGAGCTTTGGGGTTTGCCTTCAGAGAGGGCAGATGTTGGGGGCATTTTTGCTGGGTTTTGTTCACTTCCTCCTGAATGGAAACAACTAATGACACAGGTGCAATCACACTTCTCTGAAATCTGAATTGGAAGATGTCAGGAGAATTGCAATATTAACCCCTGAATCCTTAAGGTAGTCGCTCCAAAAATCAGTATTTTTATGGCCAATAATTATCATATTAATGTTAAGATTTCTCTGGGTGGGTGACAGTAAGGGTCACCTTACTCCTCAAGGGTCCCTTTTACTCCTTAAGCTCTAGTTGCGAGGAGCAGGGTAAGCAGGGACAGGATCTGTCTTTCAAGAAAATAATTTTCAGTTTAGGGTGGCAATTCAAGGTGGCATTGGGATTCTTATCTGCCACATACACACGCAGCTTCTAAATCATGTGCACCTTTTTTCTCCCCCATATCCTTGGAAGGCAGGACTCTGTGTCCTAACACAGTCCTCTAATTCACCCATTTTCTTTCCTGATGATTCACTGACTCCATATATGCCAACAGCCATCATCTTGAGTATACTGCTGGGAAGAAATGGCAGGAAGTTGGACTAGGAAGAGATGAGTTACCCTTTGGAACAAGAGACTCGCAGTTGCACTGCCTCAGCCATGGGGAGGGCAACAGGTACAGCAGCAACATTTACAGTAGCAAATTAAAGAGCTGGGGTGGGAGGAGGGATGTTCCCAGACACTAGAGCTTGAAAATCCATACTGTTGAGTTGTTAGAATAGCCCTCGGCATTGTTGGCCCAACCTGAAACACGCTTTCCCAAATGATTCCTGGATGTGGTTTGTGAGTTAACACAAATCAAGGGCCTGGGGACAAGAGGTGGTTTTCTTGCAGTGATCGTGTTTGGGTGGGTAAGAGTTTAATGGTATAGACCAGAAAACAATCCCCGTTGCATTTCACTTGTACAAATGGGGCTGGGTATTCTTGTTCTGTGGCTGCTTTTGATACCGTATTTACTACATTGGTATCAGACCAAATAGTTTTATCTTTTTTTTTTTTTAAGTATATCTTACTCAGTGTGACTGTGAAGGTAGTATTGGTGAAATCTGAAGTCAGTTCTTTTTTGACTGGAGTTCAGGTACAGCACTCGTGAAAAATAATAACAAAGCTCTGTCTGAATGACCTTGCCTGAAAATAAGACAAATGCAATGTTATTCTGTTCTTTCTGGGTCCATGTATGTATAAACATAAGTATCTTCATTCTGTTAGTAGTATAACAGACAAAAGCTTGGTAGTATTTAACTTGTATTTCTTGTAAACAGAAAGCATCTACTTTGAATTCTCTGAACTTGAAAGTTCTGCTGTGTGAGCAATATCTAGAAAGACGTGAATTGTGTCATAAAAATAGTAAGAATAACAGAATGAAGTTTTCAGGTATCTTGAACTTCACTGCCATGAAAGGAAGTTCTACAGAGCAATATCACAGCTATAGTTTTGTGAGAAAGCTTCTGGGAGAATAAGGTGTAGAATCTGCAGAAACTTGTACAGTTCTCCTCTGTGGAAATAGAGGGCTTGTATTAGATTTATTTTTTAAATAAAATATTAATTACTAAATTGTTCCTGAGACTTAGCAGCTGGTGTTAAGTGAAATTGTGTTTTATATGGCAGAGAGAAAAGAAAGGATGAGAGCACTGTCCATCCTTGGCTGTTAAATGACCAGGCACACCCATGGCAAATCCTGGAGTACTTGTACCGTGGTAGTTATTTACATACATACAAAGGGGGTTTTATTAAACAAATATGCTGCGTCTTTAATTCCAGTAGCAATTCTACCTGAAGAAACCAAGAAGACACCAGAAGAGTGAAGCTCAGAGGGCTCTTTTTCAAACTTACTTAGTGTTGTTCAAAAGTTAATTGCAACACGGATTATTTTGGAATAACACTATTTATGCTGCATTTGTTTGAGACGTGTTAAAAGGGCGTGATCCTGAGAAGTGAATAATTACTGCATTTATATCAGCATGTCAGCTTTTTTTAGTGCTCATAACAAGATAAGTCATTGGAATATTGATGGGGGGAGGGCAGAGAGTTACTGTCTTCGACTCAAAAGGGGGAAGTTGAAGCCTCACAGTTGTCCTGTGACCAGGGACAACTCAAACTCTGTGGGTGATTTTTCCTTTTTGGAGTGGGCAAAAGCTGCTTCTCCTCTTTTCTTCAACCCCCAACTTTGGGAAAATTGTAATTTACATTCATGCTTTGTGGCTTAACTTATTTTCTACTTTTTGCAAAGACTTGAAACTTTCCTGTTTAATGGTGTAGTTATTTTCTTGAACTACAAAACTGCCAGTCGCAATTTCTACCACTTCATCAGTTTATAGCATTTGCTAGGTATGAGAGGAGTCATGCTTGGCACTCTTGGATTTCAGATCCTGGTGGTTTCAGCCAATAACTATATTTAACGGCCAAAGCAGCTGCAGTAGATTCCCCCCCCCCCCCCATCTATTTAAATAAGGTCATCACTTTCATTTTCTTTCTGAAAGAACTACAGTTTCACACAATAAAATGCAGCATTTTCAAACAAACAAACAAACAAAAAAACCCAAACAAAACACACAAACAGCTCATTTCCCTGAATGCTCTCTGTAACTTAGATGAATGAAGTGCTTTGTGGTCCCCTAACAAGGTATCTGGTGCATTTCTTTTCTTTTTTTTTTTTTTCCCCTTTTCCTCACTTCTTTTTCTTTGAGCCTGGGGGAAAGAACTGAAATCTTAAACCACTGTCAGCAAGTTCGTGTTATTGTCTGAATTTATGAAACAATGGATACAGGTGTTCTTGTCATTCTTGCTTCACAATCACCTACCATAAAAGGATGATCTGTGCAAACTTTGATCATATACTTGACATCCTTTACAGTATAAACAGCCAGATTCCTTTTACCCCTAATGAAACAGCTTACCTTTTTTTCCTGTTTGTTGACCTTGCATGCTCAGTTTCTTCTCCCTTCCATCCTTTGCTGTCTTCTGCCTCCCAAGTCTGCTCTTTTTCATCCATCCACAGACTTATCAGATGTATGCTGTACATAGGAAACACAAAACTAGACTTAAGTGATACTGAGAAATATTCCATCCACTGTTGAACTGCCTTGATTATAACATGAATTTTGTTTTCTGTTCACTAGAATGTTATGGAACAGTTCAATCCAGGACTGAGGAATTTAATAAATTTGGGGAAGAATTATGAAAAAGCTGTTAATGGTAAGTCTTCTAGTTGCTAACATTACAAAGAAAGTTTAATTTTAATTTAAATATACATATTAGACATGAGGGTTGTGTATAAACTTAATTTCGAAGTTGAACTTTGGATATGTTTAACTGGTGGGAGGAGTGCAAACACCCAAACATATGGACCTTCTCTCTTTTTTTCTTTATCCAAACACTCAGGCACAGAGCTACTGCAAAATAAACTGAGCATAAAGTGTAAATAACCTGCATTAGAATAACATAAATGGAAAAAACCTGTTATGTAAATTAGATGTTCTCTTTTTCCCCCCCTGGAAATATCTTCCAAAGATATTTCACATTCTTGGATCTGTTCCTGCTCACCTATACACATCGCTACCTACGTAATCCTGTGAACAGAACAACGTGAATGAGCAAGAGTTGCAGGAGTGGAATAATTTTTCTTATCTGTACCAAACCTGATGGTATCTCTTAAATGTAGTCAGAATCAGAAGGAATAAATTTGAATCGCAGGGCCGAGTCTCTCAAACTTATGTGGTTGTTTATTTCCACCACTGACTTCACAGAAACTATCCCAGAGTGGCTTTCCAAGACCGGGCTCTAGATTCCCAAAACTTGTATTGTAGGACCTGCTATAGCCGGCTCCCTTTCAGCTCTGCAGACCTGTTGAGCTGCTTGATACGGTATTAAAGCAATGTGAAATCTCTCTCATTTTGCCTCACTCGAGGCTGCGGCATATCTTTTCCCTGCATGTAATCTAGCCCTCGGAGAAATGGGATACTGCACAAATAGGGCATTGCCAAATAGACACTGAAATGTCTCGTCATGCAGATTTTAGACCAGGCTTGAGAAAAAGACAAAACCAAAGCCTGCTGGAGATGAAAATAGGAAATGTTGATTTATTTGTATCAATGCCTACCTGATGGATTAACAGCGGGGTTATCTAATGCCAAACCTCAGGGATTAGAGATAGTTCTAGAAGTAATAACAAGTGTTTTCACATTTGGCTGCAAGTGGTTTTTTTATACCAGTTTCTGAGAGTTCAGCTTTACTGTTGATACATTTTGATGTGGTTCTTCTCTTTTAATCTAATTTGTCCTTGGTAATTGGCAATGTAACTGTGCACAGCAACACCGGAGAGGCCTGTAGGTATTGTGTTCTCACAAGCTGCCCTCTGCAGACTGGCCAGTAAAGCAGATCTAGCCTGAATGCGTAATTTCAAATGAATAAACGTTTACGATGTTGCAACAACTGTTGAGAAATTACATTAAATTCATTTCGGGGCTCTCATAAACGGTTAATATTGTCTCTGTAAATTCCAAGTGGTATAAATAGATCTGTAACAAGGAGTAAGTACTCCGTTGCTAAACAAATACTTGGCAGCTTTCCAAACAAGTCAAAGTAGGCTGACAAAAACACAAAACTTACAAGAACTTCTGGTAGTTCTACAGTGCGTTTTTACACATTTTGAGGATAAAATATCAAAACTTCTTTTCTACAGAAGTAATTTAGTAGCCGTAGTACTGACGAAGAGACTGAACAAGTGGAATTCTTGATTAGTACAGGAGAAATCCCACACTTACTTCCTTTTTAGCGCCTGTATTAGGATAAAAGATTGTCTTGAGAAAGCATTAGACAGGAAGAGTTGGAATGGCATAAATCCTTTGTGTACAGGTGGCATACTGCTCCATCAGCAGCACCAGTGCAATTGGTCTGTTCAGGCAGTTTGAATATAGAGCACCTGTGAGACACAGCTTAGGTAGAAATTACTCGTCTAACACAACAGAGCCTCACAAAGAGTGTTTCGTTTGGAAGAGTTTCAGGCTTCTCAGTGAACATGCTGTTAGGTAATCAAAGATGTCACCTTTGCTAGTAAAAACTAAGATACAGACCTAAAAATACTGTAACTGGCAATTGCCAATTATATTCCTCAGAAAAAAGTATTCTGAAGACAACTGGGAGAGGCTGCTTGGCTTCCACTTCGGGTTAAAAATGTACTGCTACAAAAATTTATGAAGACTTACTTCAATAAGTATTTTTCACTGCCTTTCACGACAAAACCTTGGCAGTGTGTCCTTGTTGTTTCTTTTCTTTGTGGTGTGCAGTTCGGTTCTAGATACTGTGAAGATGCAAGGTGTCGATCTACTACTTACGTAATCTGTCCGCACTGCCGGCCTCCCTGCAGTTTGAATCCTGATGTTTCCGTGTTCGTTCCAGCAAAACTGGCTTTGCTGTTCAAATCGGCTATAACAAGGAAATGATTAACTGAGAATAACTGAAACCTCAGTGATATATAGTAAAGAGCTTATTGGTTCCTGTAAAACTGGAATTGAACTATAAACAATAAAAGGGGGGGAAAATACTTTCTATTTTTTAACATGACTTTTTTTCCCTTTTTCTCCTCTCCCCCCCAGCTATGGTAGTAGCTGGAAGAGCATATTATGATAGCCTTGCAAAGATTGGGGACATATCAGCTGATTCTCCAGTTTCTAAAGAACTGGGTAAGTGAAATGTCATTTTTTACAATTACTTCAAAATATAAACTTTATTTTTGTTTTCCTGTTGGCAGTTCACAGAACAGATGTGGAGAAAGAAGGATCAGACAGTGTGTTTTACTCTTAAATAACACATAGATGGATGGGATTAGATTCCTTTAATATAGATTATTTCTTTAAGACACAATGTTTTGACAAAATCACCTTTTTTTTTTTCTTACTTTTGTGAATGTATTTCCTGTGTGCACATTCAGAAGCATGGGGCTTTTTAAGTTCATGTAATTCTAGGATAAATTGATATGGAAAAATGTGTAGCTTTACTTTTAGTTCAGCGATTAATGATGAAATTATTACTACTGTCCTAGCATATGACAGCAGTTCTAAACTAATACAAGTTTTTGGGTGAGTTCCATTGTGAAGCTTTTAGTTCTGCTTCACTGTTTTAGGTCAAGTATATAACTAGAAGATCTCAGATGAATAAGATTTATTTTCTAATTGAGCTTTTGCAAGATAAACTGCACTCAAATGTGGAGTACATGTATATTAATGTAAAATTGACCCAAGTTCTGTACTTTACTGAAAATAACTTCTGAATTTCTGAAAGATCAGCAGCAGCACTTACTTCTGCAGCTCTTTGGCTAGCATCGAAACAATACTGCTCAATGTACAAAAGTGAAGTTGTTTTCAGAAATATTACAAATACTTCAATAAGGTACTAACATTAAACAAATGTTTCCTCGTTACAGTGCAGTTCCAGTTTCTTTTGTTGTGTATTAAAGTTTTCATTTGCTTTTTGACAAAAATAACTCTGTCGGGTGTCTTGTCTCTGAACTTTTGGTTGTGGGCAATGTAGGACTCGGTGATCTCGCCTGTGTCTGCTCCTGTGACTCTCAACAGTATGTTAGTTCAGCTGATTAAAAAGGATGTTTTCAGTAAATGTGGTTTTTAATGATTCTGCTGAAGCAGAATTGAGGAGAAGGTCTCCTTGAATGGTGGCCGCTGGTAGATTCCATGTGCCCGCATACATTCTTGATTTGCTCTGAAACCACTTCTGTGTGAGTGTTAACGTCTGTGTTAGTCGGGAGCGGCAGCACAGCAAACAGAACAAAGCAAACAGGGCTCGTTCGGGCGCTTTCTGTGTTTGTTCTGCAGGTTGTTTACAGAAAGCAGAGTTGCTGGTTTCAAACTATAGAACAAAAGTGCAAGGAAGTTAAATGTAATAACCATGCAGAGTCTTACAAAAATATCAACAAATGCATGATTACAACTTTTACAGTCAAGCAGTTGGTCATGGAAGTAATCTACTGATCTTCCTATGACTGGGATATCTTCTGCTTGTTTGAAAATACCATCATTGGGTAGTCTCGACATGAATTCTGAAAATAACTTTCTCCCTGTTGTTAGGGACCACACAGGATTGTGATTGAAAATATTTTGTTTAACTATGAATTCTTCCCTGCAATTGTAAATCTTTTTCTAGATACACTGTATTGAGAAGGCATGGCCTCCTTCAGTCAGGGCTCCAACACTGCTTTCTCTTCATCTTCTCAGTAAACTGTTAACTGCAGAAAAATCCTTTCTTAGGGAAAACAGCAACTCTATCAGAGTCTGCTGGAAGAGATCCAGAATACTTAATTTAGAGGTAAGGAATGTCAGTGAACATTGGAAAAGGTAGGATAATGTGGTTAGGAGTCTGAGGGATCACTTGCATTTTCATGGGATGTCTCAATAGTTCTGAAGCTGGGCTACAATACTGAACTGTTTAGCAAAGAAATACAATGCACCCCAGCTGTCTCTAGGAGTCTCTCTGCTAAAAAGAAAAAAATAATTTACTGCACTTAATATTTTAAAATTATGCAGGTGCATGCGGAGCAGTATTGGATGTGTAAAGACTAGATCAAACTGCTGATGCGCTCGTTTGTGGGCCCTGTTAACCGTAGTAGAGTTACTGTAGGCCCAGCCCATGGGGGAATTCTCTCTTCTGTGAGTTCCTTTACACTTGCCAAAGGACGTGTTACTGGCCACTAGCAGCTCTATCGTGCATATTACTTCTGTTATCTTTGCCAAGATAAGGTTGGTAGTCCTCAGTTAGGTTTTCACATGCCTGTGAACTGCTTTTCTGGAATGTATTCTCTTGAGCATCAGGTGAGCTGGCACACTAGCTTGTCTTAGAAGAGCAAGAGCCTAAAGGTGACTGGCAAAGAAGCAGAGAGGAGCAGTTTCCATGATTCTGTGTGCCTGTTATCTGTACTCAAATCTGACATTCGGACTTGTTTAAAAATATAGTAAAAGGCCTCTTCCTGTATTAACTGAAACCAATAGCAGCATTCCCACAGATGTCAGTAGATCCTTATATTTTTATTATTTAAGATGTTATCCTGGCTCTTCGCAATGAATCAGATAAACCAATAATGACCAGGTTCTAAAGTGTTTTGGAATGCTTCAGTATTTGAGCACAAATGGAGGTGCTGTGGGCTGGATGTCCAGTGCTTAGGTCTTTGGACAACCAGAAACGTTTTCATCTGACTAATAAAAATTGAAACATCCAAAGTCAGTATTTAATGCTTGAAACTAATCTGTTTAAAAACAAACAAGCTCCCCTCCCCCCCTCCATGGTTTACCAGTTTAACCACAATTGGCTTACGGATGGCAAGACTCCACAGTAGTCAGGAATCCTGCTGTGTGTTTTGCCTGATGGTGTCATCTGCAGCAGAAATGAAGGGAAAGCCTATCTGCCAGCTAATTATCTCTGACTCATCTTGAATGTAGGTGCCTCCTCCACCAGCGCTGTGCTTCCCCCATCAGCCACCAGGTACTTCTTGGCTGTAGAAGAAGGTGTTAGAAGAAGATTGCCCTCTTCTCCTGTTTCCCGCAGTAGCGTATCGAGCTGTAACTTTTGCAGATACTGTTCATACTAAAATCAAATGCCTGGATAGTGGACAGGGGAATAAGGCAGGAACCAAGGCTTCAGGTCTCTCTTGTTGCACCTTCAGCGGTGGCAGATACTTAATTAGATTTAGATTACTCTAAATTCAGTCATGTTGCATAAATCTTCTTACACTTAATTACAAAAGGACAACACTGCTCAGATGGGTAATAGAATAGAATTTAAGAAGAATCCTTACTGGAACATTGCACTGAGTCATTCTACACTTCAAACCCAAACCTGCCGGGTGACCTAGAGTATGTTTACTGCCAAGTGTGATCCAAAGATTTGTATCAAAAACACAGTCAGCCTTTCCTTCTAAGGAAACACAGAACATGGTCTTCATGTAATGAGAAAGTAAAATGGATACCAATCCCATGGCAGTGTAAAAACCGAAATGGAAAAGAAATACGAAAGAAAATCTTTTGAAGTAGAGGGTAAAATGCATAGAAGGGAAAAAAGAATCAAGTAAAAATGCCAGGAATTGTGTTGTTCTGCCAAATGAGATGGGAGCAGAAGAGGGAAACGAGAATGAAATGGAAATCTGGATATTCCAGCTGATGCAGAGCTTTTGTACTAAGTAGCTGTATCTTTCAAGTCTGGTTGAGGCTCACTGAATTAATACAGAATAACCTAATATGAGTAAGTTGAAGTAGAAGAATATACTGCATTCATAACACGATTGTAGCCTTCACTTGCTCAAGGAATCGGGAAGTTATTTCCTGTTCATTTAATACTACTTATCATATCTTCCCAGCTATCTTCTTTGGCACCTGCCAGTTATTGTAACTACAACTCACTTATTATCTTGGGGTTTAAAGTCCCAGTTGGTTTGTTTGGATGGCAACAGTGTTTACAGCAGTCACCCACAATTATACTATGGGCCCATACCTGGTGCTTATTGCTCAAGAACTAACTGTAAACTATTCCTTGCTTGTCAAACTGTAAAAAGCCCAGTTGTAAGAAAAACACTACATTGCATGGTCTTGACCAATGGAACTATAATGCCAAAGTTCAGCGTGATAAAAGGAAAATTGGGGAAGACAAAATCTCCTCTCTAAACTAACAAAGACTGATAATTTATTTAAAGATTACTTTGTGTTATAGGTTTGGGGTTTTTTTTTCATAGTCTCATTCTGTTGAAACCTGTCTGGAAACAGGTGTGCAAAAGCTTAGGCTGATCTACAGTCTGACAGGTAAGGATTAGGAAAAATTTGGGTTCTTCTCAGGAGAAATTTTCTGGTTTCTGCAGGTAATCCATGGAAGCAGGTATTGGACTAAAATATTGCCCTGTGCTGTCGTAGTCACAAGACGGGGAGAAAAAAACCCCCCAAACTTCTAACAGTGTGCATAGTAAGGGGAGTTCTTGCCTGACAGAGGATGAGCCCTGAGCTTGGTATTCTCCTCGTGTATGAAAGGACGGACTGTTCTTCAGGTCTAAAAGACCATAGTTGAAGATATTCACAAAATGCAGGTTTGCTTGTGAAGTTGTGTCATTCTAAAGGTCTCCACAACTTTGTCCTGCTTTCTGAAATGCATACTCAGCTGTGAAGCGGCACAGCGATACCCGTAGTAAGGACAGTAACACTGTGCTATGAATAACTGGGGATGGGTTCTCCGCAGGCACATTGCCGCCCTCTGGGAGCCCTTACACCTCTCGGCAGTGAGCCAAATGCCTGTCGTTGCTGGGATCAGTGCAAGTTGGTTTGAGTCAAGGCTGATAAACCGTTGGTCAGTTAAGAGAGGAGTAAGCTAATGATTCCTGAATAGGCCTGCCATTTACCCAGTAGTTAGCATTTCTTACGAACCTGTACGTGTAAGCTAGTAAGTTAGAGCTCCTTAGTAACAGCTAACAGATCATAGAGGTCCTTTGGCAACTGTTTTCTAGCTGCTTTTAAAGCAAGCTAACAATTTCATTAAAATTGAAAATTAATATGAATGTAATTAAGAGTGTGAAGCTCAATCTCGAGTCCTATCTGATTTTTTTCCCCCGTGATAACCCCTTCATTTTACATTTGTAACTAAGAGAAACCCTGTGGAGTTTTCTCTTTCCCCTCATTCTGGTGTGCTGAAATGAGAG